AAAGAAAAAAAAAAAAAAAAAACCCTTCCGCCGCCGCACTCCCTTTTTTTTTTTCCCCCATTTCTAGAAGTTTTTTTTTTTTTTATTTTTTTCAATTCCCAGTGATACGGTGTCATTTTTTGCTTGGAATTAGAGATTCCGATTCCGACAGGTATCGCACGCCAGACCCGACAGGAGATTGAAGTAACATCACAAAAGGTTTTTTAGGGTATTGAATGAGATTTTGGTATTTTTCAGTAACTGTTGTGGTTTTAACTTTTTCCAATAACGCTTCATCATTAAAACAAAAACGTTCATATGGTGTTGGAAAATGTTCCATCAACATTGAAACAACTTCTGGGAGATCTTTTTTAAGAACAAAGAGAAAACAATTGGCTCCTGCATCAAATGTATAGGCCAAAGTTGGATGTCCTTTTTTAGCATTATACGCTTTTACAAGGCGAATCATAGCGTAACTGTCCTCTGTGGCATACTGTATCCGTGGTTCTGTTGTAGCGCATATTTCTTGTAAATCATCTGATTCACTCATAGCAATTTCTGCAAAAGTAGAGAAATCTTTGGCTTTTATGGCATCTGAAACAATTTTCATACGCTCTGGTACAGTTGTGGAAATACGCTTTGGCATTAAAGGTGAAGTTTTTAAAGATTGTTGCATTCCTGCTGTACTTGAAGTGTCTTTCTTTTCACCTTGCAAAACGGCGCACATAACCTGCATTTCAGGCCAATAATTCTCGTCAACAAACTGAGTTGCCACACAATCACTTCCATCTGGTTTTTCCCCTTTATTCCATATTACAAATCCTCCAAAAGCGCTGCGACAAGCACTCCCAGAACCCAAACGAGCAAGCATTGAAATATTTGCAGTTGAGTTAAAGGCTCGTACTAAAGCCGCCGCAAGAGCACAATAACCACTAGCTGAAGAAGCCATACCAGCAGCAGTGGGAAAATTGTTCTCTGAAACGATATAAGCACGTTTATCCTTCAGCTCGGGGGGGCACGTATCGCGCACATAGGCAAGCACAGACTGAATTCGGGGTGTATTGCGTACATCTGTCTTTACACCATTAAGAATAAGAGTATCTTCTTCAATATCATCGCATAGTAAGACAGATGTTTTGCTTCGAAAAGGTTTTGTAGAAAGTGTTATGCTAAATGAGTCATTTGTTGGTAAAATCAGAGTTTCACCACCTTGACGTTTTCCCCAATACTTTATGAAGGCAATGTTAATTGGCGCCTCAACGGTTACCGGCAAATGAGTCATTATCTTTCTTTCGATAGTTACTTGTTATTTATGTGTATTTTCCTTAATAAGAAAAGGGAAAATTCGAAAAGAAATAAAAAAAAGAGAAAAAGAAAAAAACATAAATATTATTATAGTAATTAAATACACATAATAATCGAAACGTGAACGGAGCAATAATAATTAAAATAATAATAATAATAATAATAATAATAATAATAATAATAATATCCCTTCATTAGTAAAGAAAATCTTCCTGTTTCTGAAGAGACTGTGAAGACCTTGAAATCCATTCAGTTGAGTGAAATTAACCTTTTCGTTTTCTCTACAAGCATGAATCCATAGTAGTAGCATTGATGGCATTCCCTTTTGCTGCGAGAAGCACGACAGAAGGATCATACAAGAAATGTAATGGACCTACCGATGTATCATTGGTCCAACCAAATGAACTTAAAGACAAGAAAACTTCTTCCACATTCTCATCTAATCGTCTGCGCTTTTTTCCAATCATCGAAGCTTCATCCAAACCCCCTGTAAGAATCTGCAAAGCTAAAATTGCATCATTGGCGTGAAAGAATTCAACTACTGCTTGGAAGGAATTCTTTTCAGGAGATAGTAAGAAGATGTAATCCGTTATAGGACCGACGTATTTGGCTAATTTAGTTATGATACTTGCCGGATCACACAGAGAAATGGGGATGTACACAGTGTTGTGGATTCGCCTACTTTGTCCATTCTCCCCCTTCTCATCTACAATATCATCACCCTCATCCTCCGTTTTTTTCTCTGTTAGGTCACTATTATTATTATTATTATTATTATTATTATTATTTCCTAGCAAGAGCTTCTTCACCTCTTCATCCGTTTTATGTATATCCTCCTCAGTTTTCTCCAACGTCTTCTGCACGTGAAAATATGTTTCTTGTAGTTTTTTTAGTTTCTGTACCAGTTCTTGATATTCATTCTTCTTTTCAGAGTCAGAAAGTAATACCGGTATAGTATTAACCAACGCAGCGTCCATTTGTAGATCAGATGGCATTTGATGATTCATTGGTAAGTTCAGCTTCTCTGGAATCCTTTGCTCTTTCTCTAAAGCTTCTTTCACATCATTCACTTCATTTATACTGACTGGGGATCGTTTTGTATAGAAGTTTGAAGTGATATGAACAACAGTATTCTTTAGTCGTTCTCCATCAAGGTAATTTACTGCTTGTTGTGCGGCAAAAACGTGTTTAAAACGCACCCAGTAGAAAAGCCGTTGCTGTGCTGTATCATACTGTACCTTCATTTCATCAACTTCGTCAATAATCTTCAACCAGTCATGCACATCATCGGCAAGAACTACAGACTGATCCTCCACATAAACATGGATGACCCTTGCGTCATCTCTAACTGACATTCTTCATTCAAATAGAATATATATATAAAAAAAAAGCGACAGAATATTGTAATAAAAGAGAAATACATACATCATAGTTTTCTTATTTCTCTTTCCATAATATATATATATATATATATATATATTTATATATTTATATATAAAACATATATACAACTGAATCTGTACGAGAAAGAAAACATACGCACAAAAGTATCACAACATGCGGTACCGAGAATATATATATATATATATATATATATATATACAGGGGAAAAGGAATCATTAGAAAAAAGTTAGTAGGGCGAGGCTATTAAGAAAGGAGGACGAGGGGGGTGTGGGGGGGAAGTGGAAAGAGAATGTTAATCCATCAGAGTTTAGAGCATATTTCCTGTAATAACTTAACCACACACACACATGTTCAACCCAGCTCAACATGTATTATATATGCACACACATATATATATAATACGATAGGTTGCACATATGGTAAGAACGAAAAAAAAAGGAATAATAAATATTTATTGATATCATCTTGAAGAATTGTCGATTATATTGTAGATCATAGCCACTTTTTTTTTTTTCCGTCCTGGCACACTTTTTTTCTATTTTTGGTTCCTTTATGTTAACTAAAAACAAGAACAAAAAAAAATTTTTTTATTTGGCGTTTATCAGTATTCCATTATTGTTTTTTTTTTTTTTTCTTTTTTAACTATTGCTTTTCGCGGTCGGTGATTTGTATACCTGTTGGTAATATGGAGTTGTACCCTTGCTCATCCCCATCCGATGAACTATTACCTGTATTTGTTGTAGAGGATGCGACTGTCCGTCTTCTCCAAAGAAGAAGATATACCAATAACCAACTTGGAATAGCCAAAAACAGAATTGAAAATACTACTAATAATGCATTGCGTAATTGGAATTCATTGACACAGTGTCCTGTGGAGTCCTCCTTGGTATTATTCACCCACTGACATTGATTAATAGTATCAAGGACACAAGAATCATGATCATGATTTGGACACCCTTTTGAAAATAAACGGTCCGACAGCAATCCAACAAACGTTGGTGACGGAAAATCTCCAAATGCATGAATAAGAAAAACAGAATAGCTTACTGCATATGTCCTCAGTTCTCTTGGTACTACCGTAAGAATAGAAGCGTTAACAGGTGCGGTCACTGCAAAGAGAGCAAAAACGGAGATAACTAATATTGGAATAAACACTGGAAGAAATTGCATACACAACGCCAAAATACCTAAAGGAACACAAAGCGCAATCATAAGTACATCAAATAACTGACATTTCATTACCCCTACATCACCAAGACTTCCGCCCATTTTGTCGACGAGAATACCTCCTGCCACAGAACCAAAAACACCAGTTACCGCAGTAACACCTCCCATAATGATTGAAGCAGTCAAATTCAAAAGTTGCATCGGTCCTTGCACAAGCATAGGAATAGCCCATACCGAAATAGCTCCAACCACAAAAGAATACATTGCATAACCAAAAACAACAAGAAGATAAATAGGATTTTTAAATAATGCAAAGGTCGCTCTGTGAAAAGGTACATACTCTTCTTCAGAACTCTGAAGCAAGTTATATTTTCTAGGTAAAAATACCACGGTTAAAACAATGGGAACGGCCACCAATACTTCAGATAAAAAAACGACTCTCCATCCTTCAAGGGGGCCAATAACACCGAAAGAACTTATAATACCACCAAGAGCCATTCCTACTGCTGTTCCCACTGGAATCATGGAATAGAACGTGCCTATCCACAATGTTCGGGAGTTTAGAGGTGCAATTTGGTCTATAATAGTGACAGTGTATCCTACAAAAGCGGCTTCTCCAACACCCACAATAATTCGACAAATTAGAAGAAATACATAAGAACGGGCAAGTGCTGTACCAATACATGCAATTCCCCAAGCAATCATTCCAGCGGTTATCATCCACTTAGAAGATATAACTCCACCGAAAGCTGCGAAAATAGGACTTGTCGTCATGAAACCAATCATAAAGCCTGACACGATGAAACCAGTTTGAGTATCCGAAAGGATCCGCGACGAACCAGAAATTCTTTGATCTTCTTTGATAACAGCCAAAGACCCGGCAATTGCCCCACGATCATAATATGTTATGAAGTTAAGAGCAGTAAAAATAAAGAGAACGATTCTTGGAGTAACAATCCGTTCTAACCTCCCTCCTTCCCTCATTGAAACGAGTGAAATTTCATCCTCTCCGCTTACTTCGGGTGTCGGTGTCCCTGCTGGTTCCCGCAACATCCTTTCATCAGTTTGGTTAGAAAGCATTATGCTTTTTCTAAAAAAAAAAAAGTAACTGTAAGGATAGAGAGAGAGAGAGAGAGAGAAAAAAGAAAGTAGAAAGAGGAAAAGGTACAAATATGTAGAAAGAATATATATATATATATATATATATATATATAGCGAGATACAAAGAAAAAAGAAGAAAGTTCATCCATTGATATTTAGAAACGTTATCCTCAAAATAAATACCCTTCTGTACCCAGTTAACCCCATCTGTAGATAAAACTAATTAAAAAAATAAGAAGACTCTTAAGCTTTTCCACATTTGCATATAATATATGGAAAAGATAACCATAAAATAAAATAATAATAATAATAATAATAATAATAATAATAATAATAATAAATTTTCTACAAACCCATAAAAAAAAAAAATTATAAAATCAAAGAGGAATAATAGACTTTAAAGCCAAGAGGGCAGAAGCAACATTGTTGGTCTCAGGAAGAACATTGACCAATACCCAAGCAATCTGCGCCCACTCCTTCTGTTTCGTTGTATCGGCAAGATGCATGTAAAAGACAGAATTATTCCAAGATTCCACAGCAAAATACTCAAGAAAAAGTACCATATAGGACATGGAATTTGTTATTACTGACCACATACTATCTGCATGACAACGTTTAATAAATGCAGTAATTGTTACTTCTTCTATTGTAAGTGAAAGCAATTCAATTAATTGTTGTACCACAACCATTTGTTCTGTTCGGTCAAAGGCAAGTAAAAAAGATTTATAAAGACATAACAGAGTATCTGTAATACAGTTAGCACTCTCTTCATCCTTATCACCACTAAGCACCATAAATAAAGATCCAGTATTTATCACTACACGGACAGCTTGCATATAAAGTTTCATAACAATTCCGTGTAAAAATGCATGCTCTGTTGTAAACTGCGAGGCTATAAAAGAGGCACCATCAGCCAATCCCTCATAATCTTCAAAAGCTGCTGGTACAAGAGTTAATTCTTTTATAATAGTATCTATTTTATCTGTGGTTTCCGAAGAAGGTTCACGAAGGTGACTCTCAGCCTCAGAAAGTAAAAGAATAATACGAGATTCTCTACTAGATAGAGTTGAAAAATTCTTTTTGCATAACTGTAATCGATCATTAAGATCACATAGTTCCATACAAGGACGACCTGTAATAAACAATTGAAATTCATCATCCAAGGTACACAAAATACTAGCACATAATAAGGATTTTGAAAGTTCATTACCAGGATTTGGATCACACATCACAGTAAGGGTTGCCGCTGAAAAGGCAGAAACGCTTGTATGCCCAGGTCCATCCGTAAACTCGGAACCCACTAACAAAAAAGCCTGCGCCCACCAAATCACTTCATCATGTGTTAAGGAAATTGTAGCAGATTGATCAGAAATTAGAGACCGAAAGCGCTCTACCAGTACACGTAATTGTTCATCAGAGCAAGTACAAGTATTACTTAAGAGTGAGGCAACGTAGACTCGCAATACCTCAAGTTCAGATGGAGCATCCAAAAAGGTAGATGATGAAAATAATGCATATGATGCTGCCAAAGAAACTCCATGAAGGTAGTTACACTTTAAAGAGTAATTTATTGCACTACAAAGTGCAGAACCCACCATCTCTACCGGTTCACATTTCATTAGAGATTTTAATTCATTCTCAACTTCAGTCTCTTGTGACTCCAATACGGCAATTTTAAATAATAAAGAATGAGTAAAAATACACTGTAATTTCTTCTCTGTTAATTTAAGGAGTATATCTTTTGCATTAGTTAATGCATTGGTATAATGAGACTCTTCATAGTGGGATATATACTCCGCACATAAACGAAGTTGAAGAATATTAATTTCCGATTCACTGGCACATTCTTTAAATCGTAATGCCGTTTCAAGACATTGTAGAATTTCAGAACGTGTAAAATCTGTATTTTCACTAAGTTCCCATAACCAGATAAAACAATAACGACGAGATTTAGTATCTTCAAAGTTTATGCCTTCATTTTTTAAAATTTCTAATGCTCTTTTACATGATACTAAACTACCATCATGTAATAAAAGTTGTATAAATCGAAAAGCTACATATTCACCTAATGTAGAATCCTTTACTTTAAAGTAAAGTAATTGCATACCTTCTATAATGCCGTCTCTTGCATTTTTCAAAAGTTTGTGAAGTTCAAAACAAGCTGCTACTGCTTCATCTACTGAGACATCTGATCTCTGAACATATTCGTGAAGCAGCAAAATAGCTTCTCTTTCCATACCAGACTCCGCAGTTACTTTCAGACGTAGTAAGGAAGAAGTAGTGGAGTGAAGCAATGTATCTGCACTCTCTGCCCATGGTACTGCATCTTTTGCATTTCCCTCACGAAGACAAGAAAGTGCCATTTGCTCCAAAGTAGAACCACGAAGCATGATTAGATGATGTTCTGGATCTTTTGTTCCAGTCAACTTAAAATGATTCTGTACTTCAATAGAATAATTTAACATTGTTCGAATATAAGATTCCTCACTCAGAGGAACACTACCATTACCAATAGTAAATACAAAGCGAAAGAATGTTTCTCTGTGCTCACGCTGTAGACTACTATCTTTTAATAACATTTGTGTGAGTTTTTCGGCTGCCTGACATGATTCCCTGTAATTTCCCACATTCCACAAAATATCCATATTTGTATATGCAAACTCCCAACTTATGTTGCGATGCTTAAGATGTGTGAGACTGTTTTTCACTCCTGCAGAAATATATGAAGCAATCACTTCACCCACAGATAATAATTCCTTTGCATTATTAATTATACCACAAAGAGATAAATCCCGTGAGGTCTTCAGACACATTACTACACATTGTTCAGCCTCACGTGGATGTTGTGTAAAATAACTGTGACAAACATTTTTTCCAGAGTATGCATAGTTCCCAAGAAGAAAAGCTCTCGTGGCAAAATCACGCAGAGAAGCACGCAACTTTTGCTCTTCCACACCATCTTCTCTGGAAGAGTGGCGCACAGTCATATTCCAACACACACTTCCAAGTACACGCAGCTCCTCAAGTGTCTTCACAGGAGGGGAATTCCCCGTCTCCTTTACAGATGTTGTCATCTCTTCAACACACTGTATAAGAAAGGTGACGTCGGAGAAAAGAGCATCACTATCACTACCATCACCACCAGAAGTAGTAGCAGCAGCAGCAGCAGCATCAGTATTATCGCTCTTCTCATTACGAGTAGCAAATCTGTGCAGAACCTCATCTAGTTTTGAGCTTAATAATTGCATGTCCATTTTGTTTTTTTTTTTCTTTGGCGTTGCACAATTCCACTCTAACAGAGCGAAAAGAAAAAAAGAGAGAAAGAAAAGGAGAAGTGAAAAAAGAGAAACCAAAGAATAATAATAATAACAAAAAAACATTTACGTTACACAAATACTAAGGGGACGTACAAAAAAAAAAAAAAGAGGATGAATATATAAAAAAAAGAAAAAAACAAAATGTGGACTTTGTTTCATGTTTTTGTTTTTCTTTGAGTTTTACTTGATGCAAGTGAATACCCCACAAGCAGAAAAAATAGAATGAAAAAGGAAATATGAGCTTATTTCCCAAACTCATCCTCTTCCTTCAGCTTTAATGTGAAGCTTTCTGTGCTTCTATTGTTTTCTTCGCCGTTTCTAATTCCTCCTCCGCTACTATTTCCTTTTCCCTCTCCCTAACCATTTGAAGAATTTGTTTGGAAACACGATGCTCACGTACCTTTCGCTCCAGAACAGGAGTGGTAGGACCTACCGTGTACGCATGATACACGAAAGAAATCCAAATATTCCCAAAGAGCACCGCACACATAAAGACCATCGTCATAACAAATGTTTTCCATAGCTGTAACTGGGTTTTACGCCAAATCCATCGAGCACGATTTGTTCGAAAGGGTTTTGTCAAACGCCCGATTTTATTCATTACAACCATTCGATAGAACATTGTTCGCCGGGCAAGTGTGTCCTTCACTGGCCCCGCGCCGGGTCCCCACATACCGGGGCGATCCGAGTACTTGGACGGTGTAGGGGCCAGATGCCCACGATTCATACATCGCCGCTGACACCGACGAAACATGATTAATAAAGTATCTCTCTACTCCTTACACTTTCTAGATATGGGAGTACTCTTATTAGTTTCTTCTTTTTCTTTCTTGTCCTTTTCTTCTTCTTCTTCTTCTTCTTCTAGTCCCCCCAGCTCACCTTGTTTAAAACAGCAAAGGGAAAAAACCGAGACAAAAAAAAAAGAAACAGACCACGTCAATGAATAGCAGAGATCTATACATGATGTCAACCACAAATGGCAAAGAGAACGTTTGAATTAACAACAAAAATAAGAAAAAAAAAAGCAAGAACCAACAATTATCCTTGTCACTTAAAATAAATGAGTGACAACAAACACTGCATGGTCCATTTGTACATGGTACAAGTAAAAAAAAAAAAAAGAAAACACGAGGGGTAGAAAGGACAGGGTGGATTTGTACAGAAAAATGTAGTAGTTAACCCATACATATATATATATATATATATATATATATATATATATATATAAACATTCACTACTATTTCCTTATCTTATTGTTCATATTTTGGTACTTCATTATTTGTTTCAATTTGTTCTCATCTTCTCCTTGGAGGTGGTTTGGGTTTGTTTACTGTGGTTGCGCATCGAGGAATGTGTCGTTCTGCCACATCCGGGGCAAATTTTCTACCACAATGTGGGCAAGGTATATAATGACTATTTTCACTGTACGTTGGAGGTGGAAGGTCTCTGGCATCTCCACCAGACTTTAGTACTTTATCAACCATACGCGCCTCACGCATTGCGCGCCTAAATGCCTCACTTTCTGCTCTCCAGTTCTTTTTTGGGATACACTTTGGTGAGTGAGTGAGACTACTTGATCTTTGAATTTTTTCTGCATCCGTGCCAGTAAGGCGCATAGCACGCACATTAAAGACTTTTCGCTTCTTTTGTGAGGTACAAACACGTTCATGTCGTTCTAAGGCTTCCATAACAAACTTTCTGCCACAATTACTGCACTCCACACGAGCAACATCAACAAAAACATCCTCCTCATAGTCCTCCTCATTATTTTTCGGTGCAGTATACTTGGGTGGTGAGGGAATCTTACTAGTTGAAGATTTTTCATTTCCTTTTTCCAATGAACTAGAAGATTTTTTTTTATTATTATTACTATTATTATCACTAACACTTTTGCTCTCTTTATCCCATGATCCCTTAGTAGGTGATGGCAGACTACTTACTAGAGATATTTTTTTTGGAGTTGTTGGCTTCATTTGAGGAACGGTGTGGGCTTTTACTTCACATGGTGGTAAGGTAGACGGTTTATTTGGTGGTTCACCAGGTATAGCATTCTGATTCATTTTCTCTAAAGGTCCTCCACATTCTTCACAGAAATTCGCCGTAAGCTCTTCAATAAATTCACAACAATTTTTACAGTACATAACTTCTTTTATGGTCACTTCTGAGGAGAGAGAAGGTTCAACATCTCCAAGTGCTGCTCCACAATTATCGCAGAAATTTCCATCAGCATCACAAATGGCTTTACATGCTGGACACACTACTACACGAATAGTGGGAGCATTAACATTTTCCGCTCCTGCTGTGCGTTCATCAGCCGCTGCACCGTTTATGGGTACACCACATGTACCGCAGAATCTTGAACCTTCTGGAATCTGTTCCCCACACTTTGTACACGGGGAAGGAAGATTCTTTGAAATGAGGTTGGCACCACACTCTCTACAATATTTAGCAGAAGCGTCATACTCTACACTACCACATCGTGAGCATGTACGCCCCTCTGGAACTACTTTCCCATCCTTTGGTAAACGTCTTACTTTTGGATCAACTCTTCGTGAATTTCCTGCGGCAACCGTTCTTTCTGGATCACCATTTTTAGTTGCCGTCAGCTCTGTATTCTCAGTACTTGCAGCTCGTACCACTGATGTTCCTGTACCAAGTCGTCTGGAAGAAGGTTGGGTTTCCCCGGTTTGGGAAGGATGTGGGGGTGGTTTTGCTGTAGATCCAGGTTTACAGGAGCGAAGGTGCACAACAAGACGATCTGCGAGAAATTTCCTCCCACAGTTAGGACAAGGTTCCAAATTACTTACAAACTCGGCAAATTGTACATCATTATATTCTTCTGTAGTTGTTCCTTCACCTCTCCAGTTAACTGTATCTGGATGCTTTGGTGGTTTACCGCGTGTGAGTACATCCGCCACTTCCCATTGGGCTAGTTTCTTTGCATAACACTGTGGTATATGAATCGCTATGGAACTACTTCCAAATTGTTGTCCACAGAGATAACAAATAGGTAATTGTGGCTTATATCCTGGTGTCCTTGTGGAAGAACCATTTGTACTTTTTCTTGGTGACCGCGGCGTTCGCTGCGTGGAAGTTTTACTAGAAAAGGTACTCCCGTTAAATCTACCCTCATTTGTATTCCCACCAATTCTACCACCACTGAAATCACCATTACTAGTACTAGCCCGAGGTGCCACTCGACCAGAATCGCCTTTACAGCTACGCAAGTGAACAACAAGACGATCAGGAAGAAATTTTCGTCCACACCCACGACATGGAACCAAATTTTCGGTAAACTCACGAAACTGTTCATCGTTTAATTTACTGTTACTGACTGTCCCATCCCCTTTCCAGTTAACGGTGTCGGGATGCTTTGGTTTATTTCCGCGCGTTGCTGGATCAGCAATCTCCCATTGAGAAACCTTTTTGTTATAGCATTGTGGTATGTGGATACCAATAGATGCACTACCAAACTGCTGCCCACAGAGATAACATACCCGCAACTGGGGCTTGAATGCCGGTCCTTTCTTGCTACCAGAAAACATCACCTCCTATGTAGACAATCTGTACAATACAAGAGGTACTAAAAAGAAACAAACAATCACGCCAAAAAAAAACAGATAGGAAAGAAAAAAAAAATAAAAGAGAAATAAAAAATAAAAGAACACAATACATTTATTTTCCAACAACATAGCAGTAAATAAACCAAAACAATAAAAAAAAGAAACGGATTAAATGCATCTCATCAATATCGACTAAACAAGAGAGTAGCAAAGGAATAAAAAAAAAAAAAAATAAATAAAACTGCTACTCAAACAAACCAAGGCTGCGCGGTCACAGATATCATTATCATCATCAACGGAGAATACCATTGAAAAAGAGGAGACCAAGTTTGCCTTGTCATCACTAACACTACAAATTTATTTACAATTACTACTATCGCTACTGTTGGACCCAATACTACTAGGGGAAGAACAACCCCCCTCTACAATTTCCATACACACTGTTTCAAATGTCACTGTAAATAGAGCGACAACAAACACAGTATGCAGAGTTCCTTCAGTGAAGCAACAAGAAAAAAAAAAAAAAAATCCCATAAGGAGTTATAAACTAATAGACTATCTCTCCTCCTTCCACCTCCTCTTTTCCCCAAAATAACGACCCCTCCACCCGAGAAAAAAAAAAAAATAATAATAATGGTAGACTAACAAATACATACTAAAGAAGTAGCGAGAAGCATTATTCTCGTTACATCTGTCTAATGAATAGCCATTGGTCCTGGATTCTTCACAGTGGATGGATACTTGGCACCTTCAAGCGGTCGGATACGGAATTGTTGTCCTGGGTAGATCTCCTGAGCAAGTGCCTCCAATCCATCGGAACGTCCAAAACCAGGTTCTGCCTTTGCACGATGAATACCATACTTCTTAGCATTTTCTTCCTCCAAATCAAATGCTGCCTTATCTGCTGCCTCAAGAGCTTTATAAGCAACATCTAATTTGTGAAGAGGAAGAAGGTATACATCCCCTTTCTCTATTGCGGCAGCTTCTTCTATTGTGTGTGGTTTATATGCAATACGTTCCCATGATGCTAAACGATCAAAAAGAGTGCTACGACGATTTACCTGATCTAATTCATAAGTAATAATCCAATTATCATCAAACCATGGATTTGGCACCGTCCATGGCAACAGTTTACCCCAAAAACGAGCAATTCCACGATAGCATGGGAATACAAAACGAGAATCAAAATGTGCTGCGATATTACGAAATGCTTCAACGTGTGTTAATGTTTGAGGACCTCCCAAATCAAACTTATACCGAACGGCTCGATGTGCCATAGAGCAGCGAACTACAGCACGTGCTGCATCTACAACCCATGTTGGCTGTACTAGAGAATTAGGAAAACAGGCTGGATAAATGTAGCGACCCAGACCTCGGTATCGATATTTCTTTCCATATAATGGACCAAAACGAATGATCGTCGCGTCAGGATGGTTAGCTCCAACAGCGTCTTCTGCTCGAGCTCGGAAATCACAGTAATTAGATTCAGAAGCAAATGTTGCATCCAGACCATTACAAAATATTACACGTTCCGCACGAACACTACGGGCTGTCCAACTTACATTTGTAGCACCTGTTAAAAATACGTCATGATGACTATTATTAGCGTATTCAGCATGATAGTCTACAGCAAATACAAGAGTATCACTGCCGTTAGACGCAACATTGACTTGAATTCGGTCTGTTACATCACACTCATGTAGTTCAATCTTTTCAGGATATTTTTGAAGAAGAATATCCAGATCAGATCCAGAAGGTATAAGTGTGGGGTAACGTGTGGTAACACGAACCTTTTCAATATCAGGATGCTCACAGAACTCACGCACTATTTCCGACCCAAGATAACCACTAGCACCAAACACAGTAACACGTTTTGCTGGTTTTGGGTTAAGACGACGGCGTTCGTGTGGGAGGCGCACGGCCGGGTTTGGCACGAGCATTGCAGCCCAATACGGTCCACGTTCGTAGCCAAACTCACCACCCGTTGTTTTTGGTTTGCGTGTTGGGTACATCTGCTCGAGATCTTTGCGGTCGAGAAACATCGACTCCGGCTGGTGGCCGTACGGGTCCCAGAAGAGACGTACAGCTGACGCACAGCAGACAGCACCATTCCCCAAGCGGCGCATGACAACTCAAGCTTTGGATGAATATATATATATATAAATAAATATTAATATATTATATATACACCCAATACGAAAAAAAAATAACTATGTTTTTCTTTTTCTTTTTTTCTTTTCCTTTTCGTCTCTCTTTCTTTCACCACACACTCTACTCTGCAAACCAGAAAAAAAAAAATAATAAAGAAAAAAAAAAAAATAACAATGGAAATAAGAACACAATAGAAGTCAAGATAAAGGAAAAGTGTAGTAAAGAAGAACAAGTTAAGAACATAGACCACACTTCTGAAAACATCATTCATCCCGACCTCCCCAATTAATGTATCTCTTTTTTTTTTTTTTATCCTTCCTTCTCTCTTTCTTTCTCTTAATTTTTCTCTTTCTCTGAATCAGAGAAAAACAAACTCACAGAGTCTTTTATTTTTCTTTTCTTTGCTTTTTTTTTTTTTTTTTAATCCTTCCTATATATTAAGTACTACCCTTTCTTCTCTTGGTTTCCCAACTCCTCTCTAGAGAGGTGGCACAAGATACCTCTCTCACATTACAAGCCCCCTTCTCATTTCTTCTTAATGGCAGCGCGAACAAACAACCGTGTGAATTCGCATTTGTGAAACAAGCAAGCAAACAAACAAAACAAATGCCACAAAGAAAGAAGAACCAACATTGCTGGATAAAACCTCAAAAAAATTAAGTTTTCTCCATATCATTAATCATTCGACATATTATCGCTCTAGTGTAATTGTCCAGTCACTGCCTATTGGCACGTCCGGTTTACGCAACACCAGAGCCCCACCCTGTAACTCATAATCAATCTCATGTCCTGCATCAATAGATCCTTCTGTTGTTTGAACAATAACACGTTTAGGACGTCCTTGAAATCCAAAAATAATCACACGCTCAAGTCCATTATGCACACCAGAGAAGGTAGTTTTTCTTTGATTATCATATGCGGTACATTTTAATTGATTTTCTGTATATGAAAAACGTCTGTGTATGTATGCACCAGACTCATAATCAAATGATTCACCATCATCCATAAAAAGTTCACCCTCACTATTACCTCTTTCATTTAATGCAACATATAAAGTAAAGGGATCATCTTTACTGGTAAATGTATTGCGACGCAAACGAAGTTTAACAGGTATTATATAACCTCCACGAAGAAAAAGTGGTATTGTATCCATATCAACAGTCATATTATGAGCACCAGATGATGTTATTTCTCCTGTAGCGTATGAATACCATACACTTCCTTCAGGTAATGTTACAACCTTTTCGGTTGCCCCCTCTTCAAGAACAGGAGATGCAAGAAGTGCAGGACCAAACATAAATGAATACTGTTCATCATACAATTTCTTATCACGTGGGAATTCATAAAATAGTGGTCGAATAATAGTAGAACCAATTTTATGACTTTGATAAAATTGAGTATAGAGATAAGGTAAAAGAGAGTATCGAAGTGCCAAGGCGATACGAACACGATCGGTTGCGTTATCACTGAAAGTCCATGGTTCACGACGCCTTGTTTCCAAATGTGAATGTCCCCGCATAAAAGGATAAAATATAGAAGCTTGCATCCATCGAACGAAGAGTTCTTCACTTGGATCAAAGAAAAAACCTCCAATATCAGCACCGCAAAATGGATAATTTGATATTGAAAGAGACAAAAGTTCCGGTATTGAGTTCTGAAGATGATCCCATCGTGCCATATTATCTCCTGTCCACATTGCAGCATAACGTTGAGAACCAGAGAAAAAACTTCGTGTAAGAACGAAAGGTCGTCTTACATGAGAAAGTCCTTTACTTGTCTCTATATGTCCCTGATATACAGTCATTGCACTATAAAGGGAATACATATTATGTAAATATTTATTTTCAACAAGTTTTCCACTATCGCTAGTATGTTTAACATCACGATGAATAGTCTTGTCAGGACCATCAAAAACAGATGGTTCATTCATATCTACCCATGTAAAAACATTATGACTACTACCTTCATAACGATCATGGTGAAAAAGGGAAGCATACCAATCTCTTGTTTTCTTATTGTAAAAATCAACCCAAGAACTTTTTCCAGGCCAACATTTACCTTCATAATTACTTTTTCCATCTGAAGTCTTTATATAATGATCTCCCTTTACCGCCTCTTCATGAACATAATAGTCATTTTCAATTTTTACATGTGGATCTTTTACAGTTACGAGTTTTCGCCCTTTAGATGCTAATGCTTCAACGATAACTTTGGGTTCAGGAAAATTATGTTTATCCCATGTAAAATACTTTTTACCATCAGTATGTTCAATATCAAGCCAAAGTACATCGTAAGGAAGATTATGTCGGTCAAAACCTTGATCAACACTTAAACAGTCATTGCTATTTCGATAATTCCATCGACATTGATGATAACCCAGAGAGAAGTATGGTGGAAAGAGTGTAGAACCCGTAATAGAGGCATGTTGTTGCTGTACCTTTGATGGTGTTTGTCCTGGAAAAAAGAAGAAATCCACCAAACCAACTTCAACATCCCATTTACACCCTACAATCTCACCCAATTGAACTTCAACCTTCATCTCAGCACTATTAAGAAAAAGTACACCAGTTGAACGTTTTACGGAGTGTGCTAAAATAAAAGGAATTGTACCATAAAGGGCTTGTGGATCGTTAATTTTGTACTGAAAGGCATCCGTATTATACATAACGTACGTTACATTCTCTTTTAATGCCAAATCCATTGCGTGTTCAGGTATACCATATAAACGTTCAGCAGAAGGGAATGTAAGTGTTACAGAAGGATTTTCTATACTATTTAGAGAAACCTTTAGTGTTGACAAATCCATATCATTACATTTATAATTCGCTTGGAAATTGTCTTCGACTATACTTGTTGTCAAGAGACAAGAACCACCATGAATGGTGCAGTTTGTTCCTGTACAGGTATAGTTTAATGGGGTACTTACCGGTTCACGAATGACTACATCTTTAACCTCATAAAAATCTGGCTTCTGTGGTTTCAATCGCATACGCAAAATTCCTTCTCCATAATCCGAAACCTCAAGTAAAGTATTATCATCCAGCTTTACTAGTTCATTCCCAACAACGCTCCTCGTTGTACATAAAAGGAGAACAGTCAGAAATGGCAAGAACAATAACAACCACCACTGAGAGGGTAAAAAAAGAAGCCTTGTCATTGCTAATATTAAACACAAATAATAATAATAATATTATATGTATATCTACTACTTATGTAATATGTATGAATTATGTGAGTGATTCTATTTCCTTTTTTTTTGTTTTTTCAACTAGTTATTTGTCACGCAGAGTAACCGTTATAGTAACAGAATCCAAAGAAAAAAAAAAAAAAAAAAAGAAAAAAGGGAATAAGAAATAATAATAAAAATAATAATAAAATAACACATAAACTTTTTCTATAGCATAAAAAATTATTTTCATGTGAATAACAAATAATAAAAAAATAATAATAATGATAATAAAGACCAGAAATAGAGAAATCCTCAATCAACCAATATATAAACAACAATTTCATGATTGAAGAATTTCTTCTTTTAAAGTCTTTGCATCCATACAACGAAGACCACAGTTCATTGCAAACTTAGCATCTCGCTGCGCTTGAGAAAAGAGATCAACTGCATCTTCTCTCACATCAGAGGAAGCGCCTACCAATAGTGAATCCGCATCCGCACGTAATCCACTATTCAACTGCGTAATAAAGAACTGCCAAACACCGGAATAGGGAAGCACAAAAGGCATTCCATCACGTCTATAAGAGGCACTCACATAGGACATTGTTGATAATAAAACAGTCACATCACAACTAAAATGTTTTTGACAAAGTTCAGCGATGGGTTGCAATTTTGATTCTAATGCCAAAGTATTTCCATGATGTAGTGAAGGGTAATGATCCATTAAAACGATGCGATATCCCTTTTCTGCTAATTTATGTGCTAAAGATGGTAATTCTGTATCTAGTAAAGACCATTTATGTTGTTTATCCTGTAGATAATTTTGTAATGGTTCTCGTTTAAGGAGTACACCATCAATTATAAAAACAGCAATAAGGCGTGCAACATCTGTATAAATAGACTTACCACTATTTCCGGATGATCCTTCTCTTCTAAAGATGCGATACATTACTCGGTTATCCGGTATATTCCATGTTAATCCTTTTACACTCATTGATGTTTGTGGTTTTCCATGTGTAATAAAGTGAAGAGGTACCGCATCACGCACACGAATAAGGTTAGTGAGAGTCCCTTTTAAAATAGCATTTCCTTGTCTTATATGATCATTACTAGAGGATTCCATAGATTGTTGTAGATATTCCTCAAATAGTGCATCACTTTTTTCTCGTTTTTTTCTTTTCTTCTCTAAAGTAACGTCTACATCTCCTGCAACGGTTGAACTATCCAATCCACTTTGAATACTAGTACGAGTGTGTTTTCGCATCTCTTTTAAGTCTTGCTCTACTAGAGCAGAACCTTCAGCCACAGCCTGCGCACTTGTGATTGGTCGGTACAACACCGTCATCCCTTTAGCGATGCGTTTCTTTGACATATTTTTACTCACATGTACAAAGAGAGTGAATCCCGCTGGTACGGCACTTGTTGGAATAGCCAGATTCCTTTCATCTGCAAACAGGAGAGGAAGTTTAGTTAAAATATCCTTCCGGTGTGTTATTAATGTCCCAGTGCTCTCTTCCAGCAGGAGGAAAGGAGTACTTGCGGTGAGGGGCACTGGTGTGTTTTCTTTCCCTCTCGCGGGCCGCAGGAGGGCGAGCGGGAGCCACACATCTGCGGTATTCACACGGTGTTCGCCGCAGAGTCTTCCCAGTGTGTCGTCCCTTTCACTTCGCAGTAATCGATGTGCATTCAACATTCATTCAGCTCCTTTGCAAAGATGGAAAAAGAAAGAAAGAAAGAAAGGAAGAGAGAAAGAGAGAAGGTTATCACAAATATAAAATATTAGCAGGAAAAAATAACAAAAACAACAACAACAATCACTACATATTTTCTCAATGTAATATATATATATATATATATATAAAAAAGATGGAAAAAATGGGTGAACGCACGAGCAAGCAAGTAAGAAAGAAAGAAAGAAAAGAGAGGTATAGCATAACTTCCAAGAGAGTTAGAGAAAAGATTAATAATAATAATAATAATAATAATAATAATAATAATAATAATAATAATAAGCCAAAGAACTCATGAAATGATAATCCAACCATCTTTGCTAGAATTTGATGATGGCTGTAAACTATCTTCATTATCATCCCTTCTAGGCTTCCATGTGATAGACACTAGTATAAAAGAGACACCATTTACCTCCACACGAGTTACGGAGACATTACTACTACTCTCCATTGAAGGATCAGCTTCAAAGTGAGATGCAACCTCAACACCTCTATCAGCTGAGGAAAGTAATTGCACACAACAACGACCTCCATCGCAATCAAAATCAAAACTGTCTAATACTGTATTGTTTCCTTCCTCTAATAAAGAATGAGGAGAATGATAATATTGTACTGCCACGATAAAGCAACTCTGTGGAGAAAGTTCTGGTGAAGGAAATCTAATCCATTCGAGAGGTACACCTTCTGAAGGTTTAGAATTACCACTTACACCACCATAAGAATAAAAGAGAGTAGATTCACCACAATTGGCTATTACAATTGGCTGAAGGAAAGATGTTTTTTGTTTATCATTATTAAACATAAAGGCAAATTTTTCGGTAAAATCTTTCATTGCACGACCCATCATTTCTAGTGGAGTAGGTTTCGCAGTTTCCAATTCCCCTCTTACGTTTTGGTAATGGATATCAAACAAAATTGACGTAAATTCATTACGCTGTTGATATGTTGAAGAATATGTCAACAGTGAAACTACATCCATCACGAAGTTTGTATCACCTATTAGTTCTGTGGTAATATGGAAAACAGCCTCTTTAGTGCCATCACCAAATACATTCTCAAGATTTACAATAATAGTTTGAGTTAATGGTTTTCTCTGGCGTATATCTTCAGCACTACCACATTTTACTAATATTCTAAGAGGATCTTCTGCCTCTTTTCGACACATTTCCTCCAAACGCAGTTGACGCTCGGTATCATTCTCACCATCTCCAAGTGTTCGTTCCAATACACGTATATCGGCAGTAGCAGCAAGTTCTCCACTTCCCGCAGCTGTTGCATAAAAGAATATAATAAATAATAAATCTACAGCACCACTAGCACCACTAGCAGTAGCAGCAACAGGAGGTTCAAGAGATAATACATATGAGAGTAATCCACAGACTGGATCATTTCCCTCACCAACTACACCAGAGACAGCACAACGTGAAGATGGAATTAACTCTGGGGATTCAAAATCAAAATATCCACACTGAACTACACTTACCAGATAACGTAAATCTGTATTAAGACTTTTTTCATCAGAAGCCAGACGATTTGTAATAGCCAGTGTTGCACATGGTGTAGTAACTAATGAAAAAGAACTATTCATAGAAGAACTCATACGTAGTGAAACAGATCGTACAGCATCAAGAGCTACTAAAGCTCCAGGGCTTCCTGGTGATCTTTCATACATTTGTTTTGTAGGACGATCAGGAATAGCTTCTACAATCTCTTTTAGTCGAAAAGCGTAATCCGCATGATTATCAACAAGATAGGTTATATCTAAATTTTCTACACCAGGAACATTTACTGGGTTAATACCTGCCATTGGCTTAAGTGCTGCTTCATTTGCTTTGTACATAAGCCAAAGCATCCAATCTCCACGAGAATAGATATTTACTAAACGACCAGCTACAATTTGACGAAGTTCCCCCCATAATTGTCGAGAAGATGTTACTGTAGAACCCATCATAAATACATTTTCAACAATTCCAAAAGCTTTTACACGATATAACTCCTCTAAACATTCCACAATAACTCGAGACCCAAAACTAAAACCAATAAGTGATACAGGACGATTACCCTTTTGTGGATCTAGTAAAGCTGATGCTAAATCTTTTCCGGTATAAGAGGAACGATTGGATAGAGTAGCGAAAGCATTATCAATTGCACCTGTAGCCCAAACAGCATACATTGGCAAAGTTAAAGTTCCCTTTAATGCATCAAAAGCACGGATTCCCATAAAAATGGCTCCTTGTAATAAATGATGTTTTGCTACACTCTTTGCGGTAGAAAGAACATGTTTTCCAACCTTATTCATAATTGCTGAAGAAGCACTTGCCCCAATGGTACGTCCAAATTTCATTTGATATTCATCTTCCCAATGAACTACATAGGATTCCGTTTCCCCAAACAAATGAGCACCAGGCAAGATTGGAGCCCAAAGTGCTACTTGTTGATCTTGTTGTGGTCTACGTTCATCAAAAACTGAAACAAAACCACCAATAGCTATTGTAATAGAAGGATATTTCTTTACTTCCGTTCGCATAACACGTTCAACAAAATCTTCTAAACGCAACTCAACTAAAAAATTTTCTTTATTAACAATAAGGTCCACCCATATAAATGATTCAGACATAAGAATAGGAATAGGATCACTATTTGAAACTTGATTCAAAGTCATTTCATATTTCAAAAGATTTCGTAAAGAAGGTTCACCAATACAAGCTACACTTATATTATTCATGGCACTTACTTCAAATTGAAATTTGATGTAAAAACGATCATGAATAACTTGTACAGTTTCACTATCACTGGTGTGAATAACTTCAATTATAAAAAAACCTTCTGCTCCCGCTAAACTCATTTCAGAATTTGTGAAAACAGCAAGTAATGCTTGTTTAGAACCAATATCAGAAATAACATTAGGCGTTTCTGAACTTAATATACCATTTAAAAGTTGACATTTAAGTATACGGACAAGGTGTCTAGATTTATTTACTATAGATACACCTATTCGTCGACGTTTTTGTACTCTTTTCATAGTTTCTATAGTTCGTTGTTGTAACTCTTTCTCAGGGAATAAAGAAAGAGGGGATGATGCTATCACCTTACCTGTACTATTATCAACTTTATTAATCAAATCTGATATCATAACAAATGGTAATGGTGAAAAATGACATTGTATAAGAAAATATTTAGTAGTTATCATTTCATCTGATTCAAACATATCTTTTCGAAGTTGTTTTAACATCACATCTGGTTGGAATGTTTCACTAGCTTCTGTAACAGAAACAGCAATAGATAAATTACCCATTAAAGATAGTTCTGTTAATACCCATAAGCGTAACACTGGATCTGTAGGTGTTAACACAGGTAAAACATGATAACAAATAGCACATCCTGCACCAGTAGGGCGTGCAAATCGGTTTAAACATGCAAATACACCTGCACTTCCGTCTGGTATGACTTTAGGAGGAACAAGACCCCAAGTTCCGGATGTTAACTTTACCGCTTTTAACTCCAGTCGGTAGTTACGCAGGGAACATTGAATAGCAAATATGAGACAACGCATTCGTTGTTGAAAATGTTCATTAGATGCTACATTTTGCATCGTTACAGCACGAGTGTGGGCTGGCACAACAATACCACCTCTAGCCACTTCTTCTAATATTTCGTCAATATCTGTCCATAAGTCATGTTTTTCCTTTTCCGCTACTTCAGCTCTTTGCGTAACGCTTTTCCATTGGGTTTGCTGACCATCACTTAGGACCGTACGTAAAGCCTCATCACTGGGTGCGAGTGGTGGAAGTTCCTCAATTTCTGAAATGGAGCGAATCATAAACACATCAGATTCTGCAGTTCGGCGAAACGCCTTATAACCAGCTAAACTGGCTCCACCAATACCAAATATAGCCGTTATGTTCGTTACGGTGAGCACTGGAGTTACCAAAAGAACAAGAGCAGCCGCGTGTGTTGCCACACCAACTAAACCACTAAGAATAGTTGCGATTGCTGTTCCTCCAAAAATAGCACCACCAATAGAACCAATAACACCAACTGTTGTCGCTGCTGCAGTCACAAGAGCAGAAACTGCAGGAACCACCAGTGGAGCTACTAAACCACCTGTAACGATCAAAGCAGCACCACCAATGGCAGCAAAGGCCCCTACCGCAGCTATTCGACCCTTACTTACTTTCTTTTCTTCTCTACGAGACTGAATTTCTTGTTGTTTTTGACGAAGTGTCTCCTCATTATTAGTATCTGACATTGTTGATGATACTTCATCCATAAGTTCATATTCTCGAGCCTCAACAAGAGTAAAGGGAATAGCGAATAACCAACATAGTCTACGAACTGCAGCCCGTAAACGGGCATCATAAACACCAGTGCTAATAGCAAGATTAAAGGGGAAAAGTACAATAACAGGATCAAGTTCAAACGGAATGACATTCATCGCTTCCTCCAAATCTCGTCGTGTTAGTTTAACATTATGCATATCCTCCAAACGATAAGGGGGTGGCAAAATAAGTCCATCCAAGGCATCCATTAATGTCTTTTCACCCACACAGGCATAGAGCAATCGACGAACAGCAAAACGACATTCAGGAGAAAACTTGTCTTCTTCAGCAATTTGTTTTGTAGAAGCACGAAAAGCCTTTTGAAGCTCTTCAATATCGCGTACTGCCCTATACGGTTCCCAAAGAAAATCATAATCCTTAAAAAGCATAATATCAACTTATGCCCTTCTTATTAATTTGTATACTTTTTATATTCTTGTACTTTTTTTTTTTTTTTATCTTTTCCTTTACCTCTTTAGAGGCTCACTCACCTATCTAAGAAGGCAAATAAACTATAAATAATAAATAAATAAAAAAAGGTTTTTAACGTTAGTACAGAAACCAAACAAAAGTAACTAAGGAGAAAAATATATTCTTATACAGAGTTCTATTTCACCAAAAAAAAAAAAAAAAAACATTTCACTATTTTAAACACATCAAGCAGAAATACTAAATAATAGTAACATATATTTTTTTGTTCATCTTTTCAAACTTTTCATCTTTTTTAATTTTTTTTTTCTTTTTTTCCCTTTCCCCTTATTTAAAAGGTAAAGTTTCCGTTTACAACATTTCCATCTTCCTTTTCCGGTCCAAATCTTTCGTATTTTTCCCACATTATAAGAAAAGTAAGGTAGTCAAAGCAGCCCTCGCTAACAAAATCCCACACTTCATCTACAATTTCATCCCTGCGGTTTGAGAGTAGGTTTGCCGCCACTTCCATAGACTCGATAGCTTGACAATTTTCTAATACATAAGCGTCTAAGTCTGATTCCACACGAGTAATTACATCTCTGTGTATTTTTTGTTTTTCATGCTCATTTGGAATTGAGGAAAAAGGTGGTAGTGAACTAAAAACGGAGTTGGGATCAAAATTAACCATAAAGTTCTCGACGACGCCTACTAGCTCGTCAAATTGGATATCCTCTGCGCTTCCACCATTACCGCATACAACGAACTCTTCCTCATCACAATCCATCTATTTCTTTTTATTGTTCTTCTTCTTGTTCTCTTTGTTCGTGTTCGTTCTTTCTTTCTCTCTTCTTCCCAAACAAACCAAACAAAAAAGAAAAAAAGAAAAACAGTAACAAATATAAATATATGTATGTAAAGGACACAACTTTGATTAGATCCCTCTCTCAAAGACACACGCACAGACACAGACACAGATACACATAAATCAAACCGAGTGAGAATAAAAGAAACGAAAAACGTGAAAAAAAAAAACCAATTTAAAAATAAAAATTATGGCAAAAAAACAAACAGAGCATTTATACAAACTTTGTCATTATATACTATAAATATCAGTAAACCACCGTAGCAAATACGATACTTCTTACTTTTTTTTATTTGTTTTCCTTCAACTGTCATATTTTTTTCGGTGGCAAGGGATTTTCATCACATTCCACGCGATCACTTTCTTGCATTTTGATTCCACATATATTTTCAGTAGTTGTATTCGTTGTCTCTCGGATAGTACTATTATGGCTGTTCGATTGTTTTCGATTATTCTTTTCAAACTTCAGCAAGTCTTCCAGGGTAAAACGAATATACCGACTTGTGCGGGAAATGAAAGCTGTGTAATCCGGCAGAAACCCCTCTTCACGCAGAAGAGCCTGTTCTCCAAATGAGGAAAAACTACGCTTTTCAGTTGAGAAGCCGCCATCAGCCAGCAATACACGAATACCTCCACTAAGCAACAGAGTAAATGCATGACTACGTTCACCTTTTGTATACAAAACAGGTCCCTTTTCATCTTTTTCAAGTCGAATAATATTCTCACCAACAATATCAATAAAGTGCTTCATTTCTGAAAGATCCCATGTAGCAAATACCACATATGAATTTATAAGATAATTGGCAAGAGCCCATTTTTGACTCCCTGTCATTGCGTCATTATTATTATTATTATTGCTTTTCTTGATATTTCCATCATTCTTTACAGTAGTAGTATTTTTTTCTTCTACTGCATATGAATAGAAATTAACCCGTGGTACTACCCTAGGTAAATTGTCTAAACCATTTAAAGTATTATTTCTAAACTCCTTCATTTCATTTGTAACTAGTTGACCATAACCTTCTCTACTATCTTGACTTCCATCCATGAATTCTACCCTTGAGTCTTGATCATACTCATCATAGATATCTGCCTTTATGATACGTTCAATAACATCTTCTAATGTTACTATACCAATAAGTTCATGTGCCAAGGGAGTCTCTAAGGCTACGTTTTGCGTAAGAACTGTAATCCTCATAGCTGCATTTTTAGATTCCCCTACTGTTGTTGTTGATAATGCTGCCGATGTTGTTGTTGTTGTTGTTGTTGTTTTTACTGTTGATGATGTTGCTTCATTTATGTTCAACGATGCTTCTGCTGAAATAGCTCGTTCTACAAATACGAGATGAGAGGTTGTGGATTGAAAAACTTTTAATAATTCAGCCAGTGGTAATTTTTCAGTAACAATAACAATATCATGCGGATTTTCAGTTAGTACTTTTTCAACAGTAATACCCTCTTCCATTTCTTCTGAAGTAATTTTAATAAGATCACGGACATATAATAAACCAACAATATGAGAACGACACCCATTAGCATATATAGGAACTCGTGATTTTCCGAAAATCCACAATTGTTCCACCAACCTTCGAGTAATATATAAATCCTTTGATAGCATTAACACTCTATCTAGAGGTGTAAGAATACTTTCAAGTTTTGCTTCATTCATTTCAAGAGCTCCAATCATCATACGCATCTCATCATGCTCAAGACCAGATTTATCTGCATACTTCTCACAATGAATACGAATAAACTTTTTTAATTCATTTCGATCATATACAAGTCCTTCATCATGTGTAACGATACATTCTAAAAACATTCCCAGTGGCTTAGCTACCGGGTAAAGGAGAAAAAGAGCAATTGAAACAACAGGTGCACTTTTTGCACCAATATAAAGAGCATATGACCCTTTATTACAAATACCCATAGGTATGATTTCTGCAAAAATAAACACTATTACGGTTGCTACAATAAAATTAATAAATTCTGTTGATTGAATCATGGCAGCTACCATTTGCGAAATAACAACCAGTGTTAACATGTTACCAATAAGCAATGTTGCCAATAATTGATGTCCATATCGTCTAATAGGAATAATCTGTCCTGCGTACGTTTTATCCGGTTCTTTTCCGGCTGAAGAAATGATATCAAGCATAATAAAGTCTAACCCAAAAAGACCGATAGTAAGGCCAGAAAACATAGCAGCAAGAATAATAGAAACAAAAAAGAGAACCAATAACACAGGTAAAGGCCATTTCGCATAACCATTCACATTTGATTCTTGATGTGTTGTTTTATTTGATTTAACTTCTGATGCTGTGGCTTCACCCACAAAGAGCATCACTACCACTATTGCAAATAAGCATTGAACTGGGAAATGCCAAACCAATGGTCTACCAACCATACAAATGATATTGGAAATATCTGTTTTGTTGTTGTTGTTCTTGTTTACCTTTTTTCACAACTCAACGGAAAAGAAATTATAGAAGTATAGAAAAAAGAAAAGAAAAGAAAAGAAAAGAAAAGAGGGAAAAAGAACACTTGGGTACTACGAAAGAAGAACAGGGGGGAAAAAAAACACGAACCAAGAAGATTAAGAATAACAACAACATCATCATCGTTATCAAAAAAAAAAAAAAAATAGAGTTATTAAATATGGGGCAATCATCCAACATTGTAGAAATAAAAATAAAAATAACAAACATACGGAGGGAGCAAAACTTGTTATTCTTTACTTTTTTTCTACATTTTGGTTTTCTTCTTCTTCTTTTTCCTTCTTTTTTTTTTTTTTTTGATTGCCTTTTGCCCCCATATTTTAATTACTGACATCATATTTCGAACGTTCCATACAAGTTGCTTTCATCTTGTGGTCGCAGAAGTTTTTTCTTATCATCGTCTCGTGTAGTGCGGGTCTTGGATCCCATAATTACTTGCGTGGATGCTGGACGTGGTAATGGACGGCGAACAGATGCTGGTGGTTTTCGCTTTGCAAACTCCATTCGCTCACATGTACGATTGTAAACGTTATTGTAAACAAGATATTGTTCATACCGTTCCTTAGAAATACGATAAATACGCGTTGGAGAGAGAATAACAGCATCATAGTCAGGTGCGTAATAGGCCGTTGTAAGCACCTTATCCGCAAGCCATTCGAAACTACGTCGTTTGAATACAAAATTGTTAGGTTTAACTAATACGTCTACCTTTCCACCAAGTACTAATGTAAAATATTTTGATTCTTCACCATTTCGGTATAATATAAAACGTTCATCTGCGGCTTTAGAGATTAAATCCGGAAAACGGTCCATTCGCATGGCACTTCCAAAAGGCAGTGGTAAAGCGGATGAGGTATCAGAGAACAACACACCCGTTGATAAAACCAGCGGTGAGTCTAATGTATCACTCTCCTCTTCTTCTTCTCCTCCTTCTCCTCCTTCTCCTTGTTCGTGTTTAATTGGAGTTGGAGGAGTCGTCTCTAATGGTGGAATATGTTGCTCATCACCACACTCATCAAGGAGCATCTTTACATAGCCTGGATGCCAAAGAAAGAAAGCACTAACGGCTCGTGTTAAATAATAAGCAACAGCCCATACCTGTGCCTCTGTTAAGGGAACATTTGCGTCCATATGAACGTAATAAGAGTAAAAATTTGCTCTTGGCATCTCTGCCGGTTCGGGTTCTGGTAAAGGCACTCCATTTAATGCCATTGGTATTGAGGTGTGAGCACTATGCGGACGGTCTTGAATACAATATTCGTAACAATCATATTCATCATAAATTTCACCTTTTATTAATGCTTCTACAAGGTCTTCTAATGTTACAATACCAACAAACTTTTGTCGTTTCCCTAATGGAGGGCGGGTATTATAAAAAGAGTAAACATTAATTTCATGATCATCATTTTTCGTTCCACCATCTGCTTCTTTTTCATCCTCTTTTTCTCCTTGAGTAACAAGTAACATATGTGTTTTAGAGTGTTGAAAAAACCTAAGAACTGTTGGTAGTGATGTTTTGGCACTTACAGTAGCAAAAATTCTAGATTTATTCCTGACGAATTCACCAATGGTTATGGGTTCAGACTTGTCAATAGGGATAGTTAATGTAAGCAAGTCCTTCACAAGTAAAACATCAACGTAATCTCCTGGTGACATTTCAACAGGAATACGAGAACATCCACTTTCCCAAAGTTGCTCAATCACTTTTGACGTGATAACCTCACTAGCTCGTACAGAAATTACTTCTTCAATAGGTGTCATAATATCACGCACCTTCTTTTCATGAAAATCCATAGCAGCAATTAAAAGTTGTAATTCGGTAGTAGCAAGAGCACTTCGATCGCCATGGGTTTCGCAATGAAGAGCCATTAGTTTTCGGAGTTCATTACGATCATAAATTTGACCAGCATCATGTGGTACAAAACAGTCAAGTAATTTCCCTAAAGGCATAGCCACCGGATAAACAAGAATGATCGCAATACGTACTAAGGTACATCCTGCTGCTGCAATACGAAGTGAATATTTTGACTTACATATAGACATTGGAATAATTTCTGTAAAAATAATAATAATCACCGTACTCACGATAAAACTGGCTAATGCACCATTCTGGTCTACTGCTTGCTGAACTAATCCATTACCTTCCAAATCATTTATGAGATCAATAATTTTACTAGTTTCCTGTACTACCAACACATTCATTAACATGTTTGATAAAACCAGTGTGCAAAGGGTTTGATGTCCTTGTCGACGTAAAGGCTGTATTTGTGAAGCGTAAGTACGGTCTGGTTCTGGACCACTATTCGCTATAATATCAATAGTAAGAGTATCCATACACATAATGCCAATTGTTAAACCGGCAAAAACGGCTGAGAGAAAAAGATATACACCTATACGCAATAAATGATCCATTAAGGAATAAATGCGTTTTTCCATCTTATGTTTAGATATATTCACTTCAGTTGGTGATATTTGACTTGAATAATTAGAAGAAGCATCTACCACCTGAATTGTTAGATAGAGAGCTACAACTCCCAGAAAGATAATAGAGATATTTCGCAGTAGAGAGGAAGGCATGATTCCTTTCTCACTATATCCTCTATTTTATTGCTCCCTTTACTAATAAAATATCAACACCAAAAAAAAAAAAAGAAAAAGAAAAAAAATTTTTTTTTTCATAAGAAGGATACATACATGATTCCATTTAAAATAATCTTGTACTAAAAAACCAGGGAATTACCTCCTCTTTGGTATTTTAGTCAGTGTAGATATGTGGGTATTGTTTTTTTTTTTTTTTTTTTTTTTTTTTTTTTTTTTTTTTTTTTTTACGTGTACGGACGTGATTAATGGTTGTGAGTTAATTCCAACTTCTAAAGCCTCTTGTGTATGCTCTTCATTTTAGAAGAGGACAGACTGTGTTGTACACTGACATTCACTGCAGGTAACAAGAATACATGTAAACAACACATTGTTCTCTTCACTTCTTCTCGATTTTTTTTTTCTTTTTTTTTTTTTTTTTTCTCGCTCTTCATTCCTTTTGGTTTTCCCTTCTTTGCTTCCCAATCAATCTCTCCTCCTCTCCTTTATTCGCCTTCTCTCATTTAACCTCCTCTGCCCCTTCTTTTCTCAATCGTTGGGGGCTCAAGGGCAGCAAAACAAAAAGAAAAAGAAACAAAGCAACATCCCTCGTGCACCAAAAGAAAAGAAATTACACCAAAATAAAAACACTATGAACATATACACAGAAAAATCATAATAATAATAATATCACGAGACCATCAAATATGGAAAGAAGAAAAACAATAATAATAATAAACGAAGAAGAGTATAAAAAGAAAGAAATGTGAAAAAAAGAGCACTTTAAAAAACATTCCTAACATATGACAGAATGACTGTCTTTGGAAAAGCACTGCATCCAGTTACCTTATTGTGTTGTCATTCTAAGGAGAAATATAAAAGAAAAAAAGATAAAATTAAAGGGAATAAGTTAACACACCTCTTCCTTTATTGTGATTTACACTACAGCTGTTGTTGTTGTTGTCGTTGTTGTTGTTTTCCCCCTTTTTGTCATTTTCTATCCTCCTCCATTCTTTTTTTTATTATCTTTTCCTTCTTTTTTCTTTTTCTTTCTTCACAGTTTTTTTTTTTTCTTTTTCTTTCTTTCTTTTCTTTAAAAAAAAAAAGAAAACTTTAGAACATGCCCATTCCCATGGCGTAGTGCATAGGCCGTTTCCCTGGATGAGGCACATGTGTAAATGTCGTAAACTTCGGCTGCATATCCCCACCAGTAAAGCGAATGAAAGCGCCCTTGTTCCCCATCTGATCACAATAATTTGGGGCACTGAATACGGTGATGCACTTCCCATCATGATCCAGCTCATATCCCTCTTCCTTTACCTCATGCGAGCGCACGACTAACTTTAAGTTGTTGTTCTTGAGGAACTTCTCCGTCACATCGGGACCAAATGAGGGGCAATCCACTCCACGCTTACTCGGCGCACGGCCTGGCATTGGTTGCGGGTCCGCCCAGAGACTTTCACAAATTAATCCGTTTTCAGGAATCTCTCGGAAACGATTTTGTTTCTGTAATTCTTCTATGGTAACATCATCGCGTGAGTAGAGTCCACCATGGACCACAAAAACTTCCTTGTTAATTATATGACCTGTCGGAAGTGCATTAAAGACCTCAGAGAAAAGATGAAATACTTCTTTACTGTACTTTTGTGTAACTTCACCCTCAAAGCCATATACACGGTTCATGGCCACACCCTCATGGTTTCCACGTGAGAGAAACATGTACTCTGGATAGAGTACTTTGTACGCAAAGAGAGTCATTACATTTTCAAAGGAGTATGAACCACGATCGACGAAATCACCGTTAAAGAGATAACGATTACTCGGTGATGGGCATCCATTTATTTCAAATAAATGAAGTAAATCATAATACTGTCCATGTGTATCACCACATACAGTGATAACCTCACCATCTGGAATATTAACTGTGACAAAATTGGGGTAACTCTTAAATAGTTTTAGAATTTCCAATAAGATGAAAACAACATCTCGTCGATCAATAAGTTTTTCACAGCGAAAGCGTTCTTTCATAGCTTCTACGAATTCCAGAGTTATAGTATCATTTTCAATACGAGGTCCATCATACTCCGGTCGTATTGTACCTAGCTTGATTGTGCGTGAGATTGGCTCTGCATCTGGAGTGTTAATAGCGTTTTCAAATCGAATGCGGCGCACTTCCTTTTCACAGAGATCCAATTTCATCCGTGCATCCTTATCGCCAGGAATGAGTTGCACGACGGTCTTGAAATCCTTCAATGCCTCCTTATGCTTCCCAAGATACAAGTGTGCGGAGGCCTTGCGGTAATATGCCTTCACAAATCCCGGATCGAGTCGCACGGCCTCATCCGCATCGGCGAGTGCGGCTCCCGGCATTTCTGTCTTGAGGTACGCAAAGGCACGATTGCAGAGCAGCGCTGGTGTTTTGTAGAGTTCCAGTGCTTGTGTGTACAACTCAATAGCGTGATTCCATTTCCCCTCGTTGAATGCCTCATTGCCCTTGGCCTTCAACAGATCCGCCTCCTCCGCTGCACCCATTATATATTTTACCTGAAATCTTACACCACACCAGAAGAAAAGAAAAGAAAAGAAAAGAAAGAAAGGGATAAATAAAGAATATGAAGGTGTTATAAAGAGATAGAGAGAGAGAGAGAAATTGTAACAGAAGGTCTAACTATTTTGGTTTGCCTTTTGTATTTTCTTTTAGTTTTTATCGCTTGCTTACTGGTGTTAAGAAAACAAAAAAAAAAAAGAAGCTAAGAAAAGGAAGAAGAACGAGAAGGATTGGGAGTAGAAGTGACACAAGGGGGAAAAAAGGCAAGAAGCACACACACAGAGAGAGAGAGAGAGAGAGAGGAATATAAACTGTTTAAATAGTTTAAGAGCACAACAACAAAAAAAAATCAGAACGCTTATTTTTTTGTTGTTTTCTTTGTTTTATCTCGAAGTTATAAATATAAAATATAAATATAAATATAGATATAAATATAAACAAAAATATAAATATAAATATAGATATAGAGATTTACAAAATTCAGAACAAAGAAAACAAAACAAAACAGAGAAAAAAAAAAAGATGGAGCAAACTACACAAGACACGTCACATCATCGTGACTAAAACTACGAGCAGAACCAAGATAAGCGATTTCATCCTCTTGCGTGGAAAAGAAACGCTCTAATTCTCCGCTTTCCAGTTGCTTGTGGGTTTCTTCAATGACAGAGAAGAGACGATCAGGGAAGTGATCCTTTAACATGGAAGGAGCGCATACCACCACCTGTACATCTGAGGGAGTTTCAAACTTGGGAACGAAGACCTCTTTGCACTTGCATACACAAAAGAAACGATTAAGGGTAAGGCAACGTGAGCAACACCCTCGAACAACAGCTTTGCAAAAGTGTATAAGTGTAGCAGGAGGAAATAATTTTTTCGAATCTGTCAGTGATGTGTGTGTGTAATTGCGAAGAGCATTTCGGAACGTACAACTCTCTAAAGAACCTCCGTTAGCTGAAGGTGAGGTACCATTAACTATTTTTTCAATACGAAGAATATTTATAAATAGCAAAGACTTTGGTAAAGATGAATTGGCAAGTGCATCAAATATAGATTCCCGTAAATTATCAAACGTATGAGCAGCCATTCGAGGAATAACATCATTACCAACGAAGCAACCTAATACAAAACTTTTGCTGTAAGAAACCAAAGCTGGGGATAACAATCCTCCAGGAGGTGCATAAGCAAGGCATCGAATACGATCACGCAATCGAGGCTGTGTTGTATGTAATAATATACTAAGAATAGTGGCAACTCCAGCACCGAGAGAGTGACCAAGTATGACAAGTTTCTGATTTTTATATTGACCAGTTAGAATATCTTGAAGTATTCCAGTCTCTTGTAATTCATTAAGAACATAGGCAGCACTTTGTTTCATTCCACCATGTACGTAGTAATCATCTGGTGTAGTATGAGCCTCTCTCTCGGACTCCGATACTTCTAGTAAAGAAGGAGTGGCAACTAAATCTGTTACACAATCTGCAAAAGACATTGTACCTCTAATAGAAACAATAACAGAATTTGTACTTCTATCAAGGGCAACGAAAAATACAGGACGAAATAGTCTATTCTCCCAACTTGTAAGAATAATATCTTCATCAGGAAGACCACTAACTTTGAGAAGGGCTGTCAAATCACAGAAAAGTACTGTTCCAGTATGCATACCAGGATGACGACGACAACACATAAATGGATCATAACAACATAATTTTGGTACACCAATACAGCAATGCATATATTCATATAAAGGCCAACCATATACAGACATGTAAAAACGACTATATGTATGTAACTCTGCTAACTGTTGACGTTGTTCTTCTGTTAAAAGAGGAAATCGTTGTGCTTGTAAGGAAATACGTTCTGAACATCCATCACCAGCAGGTGGGTATCGTATATTTCCACGACGAAGTCGAAGAGAACGTAGTTGCATACCACTAACAAGAAGTAATCCTGCAACCACATCACTTGGAACTAAATCATAACCACGAAAAAGACCTGCAAGAGTTTTAGCTACATCTCGAAAAGCGTCATCTTCACGACTTGATTTGAAACAAGAACAACAAAGTAAACGACATCGTTGACCCCATAATATTTCATAATCTTCTAAATTATCCCACTGATCACGCCCATCAGGATCAAATACTAATGCCATCATAAAGAAATAAACAATAGGGACAAGGAAATTAAATGCAATCACTGCATGCAGTAAATGCTTTGTACTATTTTTACAAAAACGAAATTCATCATCATACATGGAATACTTTGCTGCAATCACGCAAAGAACGAATCCCACTAACGCTATAAATGTTGTCAGATAAAGGAATAAAGGTACATGACGTCGCTTAGATACTTGAAAAGGGGTTCCAAGACAACTTAATGCGCCAGTAATGAGGAATGCTACGGCACCAATAATATCAACAATTCCGAGAGAAAAGTAAACACCTGAAAAAGTCCCTGAGGCATCTGGACAATCCCACATCTTCACAACATCACCCCGGCCAAATCGTGTTAGTGTGCAAACACCAGACGCCAGAAGAAGTGCGAAAAAGAAAATACCAGAGAAAGTAAAATCATCTGAAGAGGTACGCCATTTCCTACCACACCAGTACAAAGCTGGCATACTTGAAGGCCTTTAGTTAAAACTACTAAATAGGAGTGAGTAAAAATATCTAAAATCAGTTTTTTTTTTTTTTTTTGTTTTTGTTTTCATTTTTATTTTTTCAGAGGTTGGGAAAAAAAAAAGAAAAAACAAGAATAATAATAATTTTCAATGAAATAAAAAAATAAAAATAAAAAGATAACAGGTAGTAATCCAATATTCACAACAATTTCCTCTAGGGAAGCCATGATCAATGTAGTTATTTAAAGAAAGCACAAAAAACAAAACGAGAACAAAAAAAAAAAAAAAAAAAAACATCTGAAGAAAATAAAAATAGAAAAAAGCAAAATGTATTTATTTTTCGTTACAAGACACAATCCTTATGATTTGGATTATGGGTTACACGAAAGAGTAGACATGTATATATATATATATCTTTTTCGTATTCCTCACCCCAAAATTTTGTATTGCATCTCACATATATAAATATATACTATATATCCCCAGAAATATAATTATTCAATATTATATTTATTCCCTTCTTCTTTCCCATGTCATTTCCAAATCAGTTATCTCGTTGGAAAAGGGTACAAGGCACATTACTACGAGTGCCATTTACTTTTTGCGGATTCATTACGGTAAACTCTTCATTAGTTGTAATACCAAGCATGTCATTAACAGCTTCCACACCTTGCATAAGGGAGTGATCTTGATTTCCTACTTCATAGCGCCACGCACCAAAACGACCACGAGAATAGATACATTGACTCTTTAATTGAGGAAGCACTTGTTCAAGTATTTCATTACGTCCAATAAAAGGGGTAGGATATCCTTTTACTATGCGGTGATGCCATTTGCTTACCACCACATCTTCTGGAGTTAATAGATTAGAAGCCAGACACCCAGAAATGCAATCTTTAATTATTGACTCCTGATTTACAGGTTTATAAGAACTTTCACTAACTTCAAGCAAAAGACTCCAATGACCCTCTGGGGCATTATATTTGGAGTAGTTTGAAAAAACTGTTGCACGGTAAAATGGGGTTGTATTTTCTGGAAAATACATCCAACATTTACTACGTAAATGAGATGGTGGGGAACCCTTAATGCCAATACCAATAACATTAGTTGAACTATACATCATCTTGTCAGCAAAAGTTTCCCATTTATTACGATTTGTAAACTTAGTCCCTCGAGTTATACGTAGAAGAACATCCAAAGGAACTGTAGATAAAATATAATCATATGATATCACTTCATTATTTGCAAATTTCACTGTTTTAGTATCTGCGTCAATAGCCACCATCTGATAAGATGAATTAAATGTTAAATTTTTTTGAGGTAATTTTGCATGTATGGCTCTATAAATTCCTCCTGTTCCACCATATTGTGGAAAACGGAATGTTGCATTTGGTCCCCATCCCAAATCATCTTGATTGTTTTCGATATTTTTTCTTATTCGTTCCACATTTACAGTGGCAACACGTTCTCCCATCCATTCGGTACTCATTAGTTTTAATGGTACAGCCCATACCTTGAAATTATATGGTCTCATAAAAATATCTGAAATACCTTGACCAAACTGTCTTGTAAAGGACTCTTCAAAGTTTTTGGGGGGTTCATCATATTGTTTTGTTTGGGCCTTTACTAATTCATCAAAACAGTATTTTCTTTCTTCTTTTGGTAGACGGTGAATATTATTCTGAAATGGGTAAGGAACCCATCGTCCAAATATCCACACCCACGACTCCCGCTCCAGTTCATTCCAGTCTTCAACTGCCCAATTCATGACATCATCGAAATATTGATAATGGGAGAAAATAACGTGTCCACCCAAATCCCATGTAAATCCCTTTTCATCCACATAGCTGCGAGACAATCCACCAGGAACTTCACCGCAATCATATAAATGCCAATCTGTTTCTCCAAGCTCTGTGAGACGAACAGCGGCACCAAGACCTGTAGGGCCTCCACCAATAATAACAATTTTAGGCATATGATGTTTTGTTTGATTTTTCTTTTTTCCTCTTGTTTTTGAATCTGAAATACTCCTTCGCACTCCTAGTAACTTTTTTTTTGTTTGTTAAGTTTTGCTCGTATATGAGACTTATTCGTAATGAAAAATATATATGTGTTTTGATTTGGAATGCCCAACACACCAAACGAAAAAGAAAATAAAAAAAAAAAAAGAGAGGGCAAACAAAAGGTGGTGGGGATAAAGAATAATGAAGAATACAAAAAAAAAGAAAAAAAGAGAATACAAAGAGTAGAAACGAAAAAAAAAACAAGAAAAGAACGAAAAATAAAAAAACGAGACGCAATACATGGGTCACTTGAAATTGTGTAACACCAATTAGTGGTATAATAAGGGATGAATCCGAAATAAATAGTGTTCAATAATGGATAAAATAATAATAACGAGGAAAAGATAAGATGAAATGAGCTTTCGAATATATCTGCATCATATATATTCCATTGAGTATCCGAAAACCATTTTAATGGCATCAAAGAAGTTCGCTCTCCATCCTTCTTGTACACTCTGGAGTTCGCCTTCAGGAATACCAACTTGTGCAAATTCGAGCAGTGTAACTCCTGGTTCTTCCTTCTTGAATGACATAACAACAGAACTGTGAATGCCGCTCGGCCAACTGCGAAGACGCCATTGCATCTTTATCTTCTCATTCGGTACAACCTCGACAAAATATCCGGTGATAACTCCGCCAAGGAACTCAAATGTACCACCAGAACGTGGATCAATCTTCGCCGGAGACCGCGTGTACACTGACGCACGTTGCTCATTCATCAACGCCAAGAAAAGTTCATCAACTGGAATTCGCCAGCGCATATTCCATGAAAAGTTAGTTGCAGACGCATCCAAAGATTGTTTTCCCGCCGCACCGCTCTTTGCATTCCCTTGTGCAGCATCTTTGTCTTTACTTGTTGTTGTTGGTGGTGGTGGTAAAACAGAGGCGTTCTTGACATTCTTTCCAATATGGTAAGTTTCAAAAAGTTCATTAAAGTAACCGGAAATAACACCTCGAACGACAGCACGTCCTTTTGAACGCACCAAATCGTCTGCCTTCTGCGATGCCGCATCATTATCAGTTACACTGACAGTTACATCATACTCCTCACGAAAGTTATCATGATCCACTTCTGGTACAGTGAGAGTTCCAGAGACGTTGTCACCACCAGTCCACTTTAATGTCAACTTAAGCTCAAAGTAACACATCATTTTACCCTTACGTTGTGCCACCGTCACATCACCTGAAATCTCGCTTACTTCCTTTATGCGCAGATTAATGTCACCCTCCGTGCAAAGCTCGAGATTTGCAAAACGTCGTTTCAGTTCTCCATGACACTCATTAGAAAGATCGCGTTCTTCCCAATGCCACGCATTTACGTTTTGACCATCCTTCCTCTCATTCACAATCCACCTCGGATCTCCTTCACCAACTCGTGCCATGATCTTATTATATAAATATATATAAATATATCTTTTTTTTTTTCCTTTTCCTTGAAGATAAGCCTTCTTTTTTCGTGGAGTAGAAAGCACTCTTCTTTTTTTTTCCGCTTAATAGTATATGTAGGTGTGCGCGCTTATACTTGTTTTAGTGGATTATATGTGATAGTGGTAAGGAGAATTATCCATTTAGAAAGAGAAGGTGAGAGCAAAGAAGAAGAAGAAAAATGCTAATCATCCCAACATATGAAAGCAAAAAAAAAAAAATTAAAGTTTGTTGTGTCACATTACAGTTATAACCAGAGGAACAAAATACAGACCAGGCTAACATCGCCACAATGGTGTGGATTTCACTTCTTTTCTCTATATTCCTTTTCTCCCTGTATTTTAAAAGAGAGAGAGAGAGAGAGAGAAAAAAAAGGAAAAGGAGACGCAAAAGAAGAGTTTTCACTTCCTCTTCCTTATTTTCATCCCTTCATTTACATCTTTTTTTGATGTTGCAGTTTTCCTCTTCTTTTTTTTTCCTTTTTTTTTTTTTCAATGAGTGCGCGATGCTTCTTTTTCCCATTCGTTCTGTCAGTCTTTTCTCCGTTCGTCAGATTTTTCCTTCTTTCTTCCTCTCCTTCCTTGATGTTTTTCTTTCTTTTTTTTTACTGGTTTGGCGTCACTCCGTATTGATCTCCAGACAAACTTCTTCCATTCTTTCTCTGATATTTCGTTCACTTTCTTCCCAAGAATCATTGTTTCTTTTTGTTTTTTTCTTCTAAATGTGCTCACGATCGTCTGCTGATTCTTTGGTTTCCTCCTTTTCCTCCATCATCGCACTGTTTTCATTGTTTTCATTCATTTCCTCTACTTCTCCTCTGCTACCGGAAATGTTATCATTACCATTATTATTATTATTATTATTATCATTATTATTATGTTCGTTTTCGTTGTTCCCGTCGTCTTGGCTATCGCCGTCGTTCCTGTCTGCGGTGGATGTGGCATTATTACCCTCGCTGTTCTCCTGGCTCTCATTGTTGTTGTTTTTGTTGCTGCCGGTGCTGTCGTGCGGCTGGGCGGTGTTTCCATCGGTCCCCTCCTTCCGCCGGTGCACCCGCCGCTGCCGATCCCCGCCCTCCTCGTCGGATGTGCTATCGTCGCTGCCGGACACGGAGCCGGCGCGGCCCTCCTTCACACTGCGCTCCTGCAACTTCCGCTCGTACTTCTCCGCGTCGCGGCGCACAACGTCGAGGAATTGTTTCCGCTGCACCTCCCGCAACTTCATCGTCTCCTCCGACGGCATCGGGTTCGCCGGGCCGCGGGTGAAGGCCATATTGCGGTTTACGGGCGCCACGTTCTGGTAGCCGCCGCCCACTCCAACACCCCCACCGCGGGCCGCACCCCACATCTGCTGCATTGGCGGGTACGCTATAGGCGCTGCGGGTGGAATGGCCGGGATTCCAGGTGCGGGGGGCGCCGTCTGTGGGATGAGATTGGCCATAAGTATCTGTTGCTGGTCAGGAGACAACTTGTTCACATCTATGGCACCTTGATGAATAAGTTGTAGAAGAAGCTGTGCGCTTTGTTGTTGCTGCTGAACAATGGATGGAAGAAGATTTGCCGCAAGTGATATTGCAGGAATTTGGGGCTGTTGCATTTGTGATTGATCTTGATTACCCGCATTGTTCGTTGCGTTGTTGTTGCTGTTGTTGTTATTGTTGTTATTGGTATTGTTGTTGTTATTGGTATTGGTGTTGGTATTGTTAAAACCTTCTGGTCGTCCGACGTTGCCCTTGCTAACTCCCACCTTAATCTTTCTTCCAGCTAATGTGAAACCGTTATACTTCATCGCACGCGCACGATCATTCTCAGAGGCGAAGTCGATAAAGCCATAGCGGTACGGATCTTCGTCCCTTCCATTGAGAGAGCAGTCGATTATGGTGCCACATTGTGAAAACACCTGACGAAGTACATCCAGCGATACACTGCGGTCAATGTTACCAATGTAGCAGCCAAAACGCTGTTGTGTCACCTGCGTCATTTGATTGTTTTCACTCTTTCTTTTCTTTTTTTTCTTTTTTGTATTCTCTGTTGATTCTCCTTTACTCAAAAGGATATGATTGCCGCACAAAAGTCTTCTTCGTTTTTGTTTTTTTTTCTCTTTCTTCTTGTATATATATTTACTTATATATACTTTGCTTCACCTCTTTCTCTTTTTTTTTTTTGTTTTATTTTTAAATTCCAAAAAAAAACGTGTTTTAGTGGAACTATTGCGTCAGCAACAAGAACAGGTAAAGAACTCTGCAAACAAAAGAAAATAAAAACAAAAAAGGGGAAGCCTCTGCTCGACAGTTGCAGGGTTACTGCCTATTTAACTTCCTTTTGCTATTCTTTCCTTGATAAAAGAGGTCACAATGAAAAGGTACAGCTATGAGTATAAACAGCAGTATCACAAGAATGGTATGCAGTTGAGAAATAGAACAATAGATCGGGAAACGATAAAAAGAAAAAAAAAGAAGAAGAAACGAAAAAAAAGAAAATGTAGTGGGAAGTGGGGACGTGTCATTTTCCTCACATTTCACCATTAAACGCATTTTTCATTCCTCTTCCATTTTTTACTACACACACACACACACACAAATATAAACTTTTATTTCACTTGCTACCTCAATTCTTCTTTTTTTTTTTGTATCCTTTATTTCCCGTCCTCTTACAGTTGAGTCGGGGAAGAGTGGGGGAATAATCTAGGGAACTTTCTGCAAGAGTAAAAAAAAAAAAAAAAAGAAACCACACAGCAAAACGCGCGCACAAAAATCACAAACACACATGTACAGAGAAAAATAACTGTACAAAATACATACATACATACATTTACATGCATAAAAAAAAAAAAAAACAGACTTTATATAAAGTCTATGTATAGATTAAGCATGTAAGAATATATGTATATGTATATATGTACATATAGTGTCTATGTATATCTGTGTGTGCACGTTAACCTATGTGTTTCATTACTAGGAGGCTAAGGATGCTTTCTTAGCTGCTTTACGCTTATTAGATGCTTCAAGTTTCTTCTCCTTCCTTGTGGCTGTCTTGAGTTGTTGGGCGAGATAGGAAGCAAAGGAGTCTCTGTTCACAACCTCGAGCTTCTGATGCACAGAGCGATGACGTTCCATAAAGAGCTGACGCGGTGGGTGGAAGTCGAAGGGTGCGATGTGCTGCAGGATCTCCTGCACGTGTTCAGAGCCCTTCACAATGGCGTCGCAGAGGTCCTCCACGCACAGCACGTTGTATTGTCCGAGTGTCTGCTCAAGCATGAGATTACCGCTAATAATGCGGCGTGTGCGTGTCTCTGCGTTCCACAGACAACCGCGTGTGCGGAGAAGTTCCTCCAATTGTGCGGCGGGTGGGCGGCCAACGATGGCGAATGGCGCCAACTGCCGCACCAACACCTCCGTTTGATTGGAATGGCGGTTTTTGTTGTTGAGATGTGGGCGGTTGGGGTCGTCAAGGCAGATGAGCCGCGCCGCGTATAATTTCTGCAGTCCGAGACGGCGGAACGCGGCGGCCACTTCTGTTGGGATCTGCCGCCCCTTCGCCCGCACCACCAACACCACCACCGGAGCCTTTTCTTCCGTCTTTGTTGTTGTTTCCTCCTCTGCGGTTTCTCCCTCCTTTGCGTTTATCTGCTCCTTTTCCTCCTGCAGCTGTTGTTGCACCAGGCGGAAGCGCTTTCCACGCACCCGTTCGCCAATCTTGCGGAATACGTGTCCCTGGCGCTGGGCACGCTGGGCGTGTTTCAGAATGGTCTGTGCGGATATGAACTTCTTCTTTGTCAGTTTGCGCTTCCGCTTCGCATCCAACTTCGCCTTGTGTCGATCGCGGCGCTCCTGCAGTTTATCACGGCGAAGCACACGGTCAGCACGCAGCTGCTCCACCGACTTGCGCTGCAGGAGAATAGTCTCCTTCACACGATCACCCGGAAGCCACTTTGGTGGATTTTTTCCCATCGCTTCGCAAGAGACGTCACACAAGCTACTGTTGTAGGAAGAAAAATGAATGAGGAAAAAAAAGGAAATAAAAGGGAAAAAATATGTTAAGTAAGGAGAAACAAAAACCAAGGAAGAAGCAAAACATAAAATGAATGCATAAATAACCAAGTAAGATAATACAAGGATAAAAAAAAAAAAAAGAATGGCAAAGAAAATAGAATATCAAAAAGCAAAGGTCACAAGGACAGTGTTGTCTGCCTCACTCAATGGGATCGCAAAGATAACAATACACATTAAACCAGTTGTTTCCATAACCACAGTAAAACCAGGTATGAATAAAATAGCAAAATGGTAGTAAAACAATAGCTGACATAAGGTGGTATTGCATACGTACAAAAGCACGTAGTACAAATTAATTTGACGGAAAGAAATTCAACTAACTAACTCCCCTTTGAAAGAGAGAAGTCCTCCCAATAAATTATTCTCTTGCAATACCTCATTTTTATGTATGTAGATACATATATATATATATGTCATTTTTTTTTATTTTTCTTTCCTTCTCTTCTATTTACTTTCATTTTTTTTTTCTTTCTTTTTTCTTTTTTTTATCGTTGATATCAGATATTGTTCCTTTTTAGCCCACTACATAAAAAAAAAAAAAAAAAATCAGTGACGAAGGAAGTGCATACGTATGTATACCTTACCTTGTGGATCGAGGTTCCACGCACCCGATATCTGATCAGTCGCACTCGTCGCAACTTTACTTACTGGAATACTAACAGTTCCCATCACACGATCTTTGCTAAGGTCATTTTTGTCTACAATGGCTACTTTCAGAAGATCTGTTTTGGTATCAAAAACTTCCAATTCTGCTTCAAAATTAAATACAGGTTCAAGACAAGAACTTACATATGGTGAGTGTCTTGTTTGTTTTCGTATACGTAGCACTACATAGGGATCTGATGTACCCAAACGTTCCATGTTCTTGAGACCTGTACATCGTTCAACTGTCACAAAAAGTGTACCACTTTCAGTATTACTTATTGAAATACTTTGATTATTACTTGATCGTGTGCTTGGTGGGTCAATTAAAGCATCACCTGAACTTCTTTCTTTTAAAAAGACACTTGATACCTTGCGTGTGGGAACGCAACTCGGTGCAGCAGTAGATCCATTTCTACTACGGTCAGTATATGATAAGAATTCAGGAGTAATAATTAGTTTTGCACGTGCAGTACTTTCTGTTGCAGATGGTTTTGTTAAGAAACAGGGATGTTCTGGTAGTTTGCTATCCACCAATATCTGAACAGGGATTTCACACTCTCCAACGCAGGTATCATTCCCAAGTACATCAAAGTACAACCAAACATGTAAAACATCTCCCATATCATAGAGAACAAAATTAAATACATCTGAAAGTGCAGAATTTAACCCTTTATAAGATGTGCTTCTTAGACGTTTTTTCCTTTTTTCACTATGAAGTTGAAGTTTTACATAAAATGGTGTATTTTCCTTGGTTGAGGCATACCGATAATGCCAATCATCCACACGAAGTAAATGAATTCGAAGAGTTCCAAGAGCCGCATCTACACGAGTAGTTTGTAAGGTATATCCTTGTACAATAGGGACAACAATCTTTTTCGGATACCGTAGCATTCCTATAAGTGTATCACGTATAAAACCATCCAGAAAACCTTTTAATCCTGGTACTGCATCTAATGATACCCCTGCTGCAGTAATATCAAAGTTTAAAACCCAAATATCCATAATTGAAATAACAAGTGTTCCAAAACATGGCCATTTTGGAACATTTGGAGTTAATATAACACGTATTTTCATATTGAGTTCAAATCTTCGTATATATACATGCATATCAGGTCCAGGTACTTTAAGGTGTAGATGAATCTCCATATCACTATCCCATGAAACAGTAATATCAAGTAAAGATTCTGTTTCAGTATAATATTGATGCTGAATTCCATCTATAATCATTGGACGAGAACCAATTGAACATTGTTTAAGTACAAATTCATAAACAAATGAAGGTTTATTAGCAGCTAACAGTGGTTCAACAAATTGACGAACAGATTCTTCTGCCGCTAAAGCAATAGAACCCCACATTCCTCTTATCATGTTATTTATCCATTGTACACGATTCGCCCCTGGATTTTTTAACCACTCTGGAAGTTCTTTTCCAAGAATAGCTTTAAGATTTTCTGTATCTTGTAACATTTCATGTACTTGATTAATTTGAATGGTTTCTCGCAAGTACTCCCTCCTACGAACATAGCATACTGCACCAATCACCAGAAGAAATTCCAAAACAAGTAAAAATCCCATAGCATACAGACATCTAAGTCCCAACCATACACAAAGAATAGTAGTACTAAGAGGAGCATAATTCCTAATCTTATTCAGCTGTTCCTGAAGTTGTGTGTGCTCTTTCTCTGTCATTATGGAGTATTTCTTTGCCCCAAAAATAGCCAAAGCAAGAGTAGAACCCCATATGATGTTTGTCCAGTTTATGATCCACCCAAGCATTACGAAAAAAAAAAAAATTGCTTTGTTTTTTTTATACTTTTTTTTAAAAAATAAATCTCTTTCCACTAAATGAATTTGTTCTTTTTTTTTTTTGTTCTTAATAAGCACAGTTGTTTTTTTTTTTTTTTTTTGGGGGGGGGGCCTTGTCCTATAACGATGAATTTGTAATTTTTCCTTTCACTAATCCCCATCAATAAGAAAAGAAAGAGAAGAAAACTCAGAATATGGACAAACCATGGCAATAAATTTTTTTATTAACATATACAATGTATATAATATATATATATATATATATCCCTATGCTTCTAAATTTAAATCGAGTACAAAAAAAAAAAAAAAAAAAAAAAAAACTTTCATTGACATGTAATACTATTTCTTCTCTCACAACACATCGCTTCCATCCAGTTTATCGAACTATTGCTATTATTATTATTATTATTATTATTCCAACTACTAATCCGTAACCACTGTGAGCAACTGTGCTACTGCATTTACCTCTATAAGGGTATCAGACGACACACATACCCACCACAGGGTAGAAGTATTTAAAAAATCAAAATGACGTTTATCCCACGAGTACACACGGTTACTCCTACACGGAGAGATAAAGAAGGCCCAACTAGCACCATGTATGTTATTCAAATGTCTCGCAATGACAGGAATACGTGATTTCCCCGGGTTTGATATGGAAAGCTCATCTTCCAAAGTTCCAGCACCAGGAATATGAATCAACGCGGGATCTGTTTCTAAAAGAAAACATGCAATTATAGAAGTGTTTTGTAATCTTTTAAAGGGTTTATGTGGGGTCATTTCAGAATTAACAAGTTCAGAGATGTTACGTAAACGAATTACAAGAGGAACAGGAATTAAATGGTCATCATTATTCCCTTCTCTTCTCCATAGCAAAGGTCGTTTTGGCAAAGGATTAAAAATTCTGAAATGAGTATCACTCGATGGACGTAAAGCCAGTACCAAGGGCCAGTGATGTGTTTTAGAAAACTGTTCAATCATATAGGTTTGATTCCAAAGAACATTCTCCGCAAAATTTACAATTAAACAATCTACTGGTGCAACAGAACGTACAAGTGTCTCCGTTTCTTCCTCCTCCATTTTAGAAATACCCTGATGGTCCTGTTGCTGTTTATTAAGAAAATGAACCCTAAACGTATACATGGGACCTACTGGTATTAAATAACTCTTAAGGTCAGCATGAATATGTGCATCACGACGCAAGATCTCCTCATTTTTACTGGAACCATCTATTGCAGATTTGTACACTATACAGGAGTGAATTAGAAAGAGTAAGAGCACCAGGAGCGCACGACCATCTACCCAGTAACGCCAAGAAGAAGGAAACATCCTATTGGGCATGTTTTCCTACTTTTTTTCCAGTTTTCTGCATCTAATTCAAAGTCTTAGTACTAGGAACGAATGAAAAAAAAAAAAAAATCAGAACAAATAAAACGTACCACAAACAGAAGAATCTCCTACATTTTTTCATCTCCCCATAATCAATCAAAGAGAGAAAGAGAGATACAAACAGAAAGAAAAACTAATATATATATATATATATATATATATAATATCACAACAGTTGTGGATTCATACGATACTCTTTATCTCTTCCTTCTCGTTGTCTCTCTCCCTCCTTTAATTTTTGTCTTTTGCTACCCCTCCTTCTCTAAACCTTGTTACCCACTAGTCGAGCCAGTCATCAGGGCGCAGGAGACGTCGGCGCTGCTCTCGGAGGTGCTGTGCAAAATTGGCATCTTTGGCAGCGAGTGTTGCCGTCTCTGGCGGTTCATCAAAAGCTGGACTCGTTGCCTGTCTATCGGCCTGCATATCACGCAGCACCTCATCCTTCACACGTCGTGGCACAGCGGGAGATGCGAGAGTGCCGCCTGCTTCAACCCAATAGGCCTCGCCTGTGGGTGTGCCGTCGTGTGCGTGTTGCCGTGCGTGTGTGTCCTCGTTGTGTGCCCGCAACAATCGGGCGGCGGCGTCACTACTCATGCGGCGTGCGAGCCGGTCGGCTGCGGTGCGCTGCTGGTGTGCGGTGAGGGCGCGTGGGTCGGTGCCGCCGAGTTGCTGGCGGGCGTCCCGCACGTACGCGCGGAGCTCCGGGCGGTCGTCGAGGAGGCCGTCGAAGTACGCGGCGACGGCTTGCGGCTGCCGGCCCTCCGCCACCGCCCGGTCGACGTGCTCCTGCAGCCACGCGCGCGCCTCTTCCTCCTCCCCGCGAATGGCCGGCGGGTGAAGAGGCGGCGGGGACTGCTGCTGATGGTGGGAGGAGCGGCGGGGGCCGACGAAGAGGGGGAGGCCGCGGGGGCAGCGGCGCATGGGGCGTGAAATCGGCAAAGTTAACCCACACACCCAATCGTAGATATATCTATCTATCTATCTATCTATCTATGTATATGGATAATGATAGATAGATATAGATAAAGATCGATACGTATATATCGATAAGTAAGTATGTGGGACAGACAGCCACACACACACTTACTTCTGAACCTGCAGAGGAAAAGCTCAGCAATGGGAGGAGAAAGAATCATAAGAAGAAGAGGAAAGATTTCCCTTCATCCTTTCATCCCATCAACAATTACACATATACACACACACACACTTACAAACGCAAACAGAGAAATATCAAAAAACTACAACTTCTTTATAGAAAAGACACACAAACACAAATACACAGACAAAGACATAGAGACATATGAATACTGTATGTCTTCACACTCCTTCTACACACCTTGTCTTGTTTTCGTTTTTTTTTTTTTTGTTTTGTTTTGTTTTCTACTCTCGAAGAGACATGTGAGTAGGAGAAACGTTATACTTGTAAATGTACACGTCTGGTCTATGGTAAAGGCGATGAGCCTCTATTGCCTCTTCAAAAAACGGTTCCTGCGTGTATTCACCTTGTTTTGGATCTCCAAAGTTGGATCGTGCCAACTTTGCAAATGCACCCTGTTTTTTCTCTGTTGTGTGTGGTGCCCAACTAACACGTCGTGCATGGCTCATGGCCTCTTTACTGAAGAAGTCCTCTGTGCGAACAGAAAGATGACGATGCGAAACAACCAACGGTGATCCACAGCACCCTATTGCTGTTACCCTCCTTAGAGTAAGCATCATTTCAATACCTACTAAAAAATTATTTTTAAAACTAACGTACTCAAACCCGAAAAAAAAAAATAAAAATAAAAAAAAATAACCAAAAAAAAAGAGAACAAGAACAAGAAAAAAAAAACTTTCAAGAGCAGAAAAAAAAAAAGATGTATAAACATTCCAGCAGCAAGAAATCATTTAAAAAGAAAAAAAAAAGAAATCACTGGTCGCAATAATCTTGCCTTCTTCCTTTTTTTTCGTTCTGTTTTCACATGGGCAACTTCAGAGGATAATCCTCGGCATCACATAACGTGATAAACAACAAGAAAGAAAAAAAAGAAAGAAAAAAAACGAGGGGGATGGATCCAATGCTGAAAGCGTACAAACAAATTTAAAGCGGTGAGACCGCTCTCTGCTAAATCCTAACACATAGAGACAAAAGCAACGAAAGACGCATGTGAGCACAAGGGTTCTTCAACCAACAAATGATTAAAAAAAAAAAAAAAAAAAACAAGAAAACAAGGGGTATACTCTAAGCACCACTAATGTAGAGTGCCTCAAGACTCCCCTTGTATTACGATGCAAAGAGAAATAAATTAAAAGGAGATGGCGGTTGAGTAATGCCATATTCATATACCTTTTCCCCCAGCAGCACTAGTGGAAGCGGCGGAAAGCAGTAGCAACGTAAATAGAGGGTGCGCTGCGGCTTTATTCTCATCACCAACCACAATATAATAATATATAGGAGATAACAAGATGGGTATGAGCAGCAGAGAAACGCCATCTACGCCTCTTTTACTATTCCCACATTCTCTGATTTTTTTTATTTCTTTCTTTTTTTTTTTTTTTTTTTTTCTTTGTGCGTTGAGTTGTATCTGAATATGGGGAGGATATCGCCTGATCCCCCCCCCTTTTTTGGCTCTCTATTTGTTCCCTTCGCATCATCTTGCAGTTCTTCTTTCTTTCAGGATAAAGTCTATCAATCCTCTTCTTTTTCTTTTCTCCTCACCTTTTTCGGTTTCTGCCTCTTTCATCCCTGCAGTCTTGTACGTCTGCGTGCATTTGCACATATCTATCTATCTCTTGATTTCTCTTCACTTCAGTAATGGGAGATTAGACGATTATTAGTAATGCGCACAATGGTTTGCTCGTTTTTTCTCTATTTCTCTCCGTTTGTTACATACTTTCTCAATCTTTGATTCTCTATGTACTCATGTCTATATATATATATATATATATATATATA